TAACTATTAATATAACTGAATTAATTTTAGCTCGAGAAGGGATGGGTTCACGGTGATTTGTACTCGCGCCAGAACCTCACCCATCCACGATTGAAGCCGTATAGTCAGCTGAAAGAATTTGTAAGTTTTTTATGCATTTTTCTATGTTTGATGATCAGGCCACTACGTGGATCGACATATTTCGAGGTACATTAGGCCATGAGGTAGGTATTGATGTACCAATGACGAAGACACAATGGTCATGGATATCCTCCCATTCAAATACCGAAAGTCGTATGAATGGGTGCTCATAACTATTCTGCCTTCCTCATTTTTATTTCCTTTCTTCCGATACTGTTGGAAGTAGGAGTGCCGGTGAGAAGGCACAACGATGAAGAGTCTCCACCCACCTGATAACCGTGGGCTGTGTTTCTAAAGGCACGGTCCGCGATGAAAAGCCTAGCTAGTTTTGAAGAAATGTGGAAGAAAATTTGCCGAGTGAGCCATCTATAAAGAGGAAATGCCAAAGGGAACGTTGGAAACGCATTTGTTAGGCCTCCTCTAGCCTCAAACAACTGTAGAGGTAAAAGACCGAAAAGACGCGCTGGGACGATTCCCCCGTTGGCTGATTCCCAGTAATGAACCCTATGACTCTACAAGAGACATTGAATGCATCCACTCCATGATACTTGCCCGGGAGCATTACTTTGGCTGGAAGGCCGACTTTGGAGGCGGAGTCACTGGAAAAAGGGATGTACCACTGAAGCAACTTTGCGCCTTAATCCCTTTACCGTACAACTTTCCGCCGCGAAACTGGCACAGGGTTGTCCACTTTGGACCGCACTACCCTCCCACATAACCTCTCTTCCATTTTCATAGGTCAGGCGCGGACCGCTCCTTTGAATGAGCACAATCTACGTTTCTTACAAACCTTTGTTGACCCTATGAGCATTATCTAGTCAGTGTTATTACAGTTGGGATAGGCGTACTTTGTAAAAGCTTGCTTTGTGAAGCTTAACGAATGAATATTCTTTTGGACTTCCAAGTGGCTCGTGCAAAAATCCATATAACGAGCATCCGATATCGTGAGATCAAAGCTTCAGCCGACCGGAATTTTCAGCAAAATATTCATTCCAGTTATATGGTATACATAAATGTTATTTCCTACTGAAAATAATCTGAATGGTTTAAGGAGAAAGCATTCTACAAAGACCGATGTGCGGAGTGTTTGAAAGCGCTTTTGGCTTGGAACTATACATTCGAACTGACCGATCGGGATGCTGCAGATCGAGCGGCCAGTGCTCGAACGCCTTCAGGCACTTCTATCCAGAACTTTGCCCCTAAACCAGTGGACCTTTCAAGTATGACGCTAGAAAAGGTAAGTTTGCTGACTTTTCTTGATTCTGATAACTTTGCCACCTATCACTTGTTGTAGGATATGGTAGCGGCTGGTGAGAAAATGGCAGAACATTCGCACCTGATTTGGGCCAAAAAGGTAAGTATTCGGAAGTTTCCTGAGTTCAGGGTTCTGCGCTTTCCTCTACGGGAGCGACGGTTGCCACTATTTTACTAATTCTTTATGTTCTTTATAGGTATGGAACGACCTCAATACAAAGGGTGGATTTCTGCCAACGACGCTGGTACCATGGGATTTGTTGACCGATTTCGAAAGGCGTAAGGATCGTTTCCGAGCTACTGAGATTCTGAAATTTGTGCAGTACCACGGATATCACGTAGAGAGGTAGGCTATTCTCCATTTCTCACCCATTTTCGACATGCGCGTATTTAATGCTGCTTTCTTGGGATGGTAAACATCTTCAAAAAGAATCACGTTACCGACAATTGTGGGAAGGCTAGAATTCCTTTGAATATTTTCATCGAGCCACTAAGAGAGAAGATTCTGGATCCAGGGTGGGAGATGCTACCACGATTGGAGACCAGTGGGTTCACGGCACGTCCAGCCGTTGGGGAAGATTTCCGCAAAATACGACCATCCTCGGAATTTTTTGAAATACCCTCCCTTGGTGGTACGCCACCCATTTCCCCAACTCCCATTCACCCACCATCTTCCTAGGTTCCCCAACCTCGTACCCCTTTTTCAGAGTCAATAGCCGAAAACTTTTTCTCACAGGCAACCCTAGACCCTGCTCTATCCAGTGAAAAATACGAGACCCGTTGGCGCCCAAATCATACGCTCGCAGACGTTTCAGGTTCCAGGAAACGATATTGCTTGTAAGTGGGTCCATCTTAGGCAGGACAGTCAGTAAATACTGTTGCCTGGAGTTCGTGGATGTACTAGTTCCCCGAAGGACATGACCACAAAGTAAACAGAACAGTCTAGATAAAATATGAGTTGATTCCGCATCACTTTCAGTCCGAAACATGAACAAAGTATGGAATTACGAACAAATCGAGGGGCGAGAGGATTATCGGTCGAAAATGAGGTTAGGTTTATAGAACGGTACTTTTGGTATACTTGAAGGCACATCCCGCCATCGCAAGACATTGAGGTTCGAAGCGACTTTGCAGGTGCTAATTGGCCTTCCATCGAATACACCCCCCTGAATAAAGCCCTTCTTTTGCAGTTGGTTTCCGAGAACCGGATCACAAAGCTGCATCACAAGGAGCGAAAATCAATTAGAAATACCGGGCGATAATTCCATACTTATGAGCTTATGTACCTGATATGGTTAGAGCTCCATATCAAGTACATAATCTCATAAGTAACGGGTTTAACCTTAGGCCTCTAGCACCCCTCCCAGGCACTTTCCTGTGGCGAAGCTGGTGTATTCTAAGCGGCTGTGTACCTGCGAAGTGCTCCTTATGCCAGCAAAGAATTTCGTGATCTAATTAACTGCGGAATGTGTCTTTAGGTCCCTTGTATTGTGTTATTCGTTTACTGGCACAATCCTTTTTTCCTCTCGAAGGTTGTTGATGGTTCAGATTTGCATATAACCTTCTCGAAAAACTCATTCAATATTTGGAACAAGCAAGTCTCAAGATGAAATCGGTAAAGCCGAGTCAGGAGCTGACCAGAAGAAATACGTTCAGAAAGGAGGGGCAGGATGTGAAGTTCTTTGAAAAGGTACCCTCAAGACTTTCTACAGGTTTTCACGTTATTATTATGCTTTATTCTATAAAATTCTTTTTTTACAGGTTGTCTCCCGCTTATGCATGCTTACTTCAATGCACATAAAAATTACTTCCTCGAAGGCTCTACCATTGTGCAAACGGGCACAGCCAGCAACAGAGAAAAGGAGATGGTCGCCAAGTGAGCGCTAGCATTCAGTCCAGTTGCAAAAATAAAAAATTGTGTCGTCTGAAAACATCTATTTTAGCTTGTTCTGTCGTCTGGCTGCACTGCTTCGAATTAAAAATCGTGCATTCGGAAGTGTAGCGAAAATTACAGTGAAGTGCCTGCAGGGATTGACTCAAGCATTGGATCTGAGGTTTGCTAGAACTTTGCTTGATTTCGTTGTTCATCGGAACTTTACTATGCATTATTTATTATTAAATGAATTTACCACTCTTGTTATCCATGAAAGGTGGGAGATTTGCGACTATTTCAGTCTCTTCTGGACTGACAGTAAGGGGTCCCTCTCACTTACAGTCATTATGAAGTCGGTTGGCGCGTCTCAACAGCGTGGGTCTGGGAGCGGCGCCAGCCTGTTTTCGCAGATCGTTGGTGCTTGGAACAAAGAGTGGCTCGTGCCGCGCCAAAATCCGCGCGCAGCTAGCACGCCTCTATGAACGGGCCACGCCCTATTACGCAGCTGATACCCGAACAGTTATCATTAGCGTGCCACAGTGTGTCATAGTAGGGCGCTAATGTGAAAAACGGGGATTTTGCAACTTATGCTGCCAGTTTACTATATCTACTTCCGTAGGGGGTGAATTGCATCTTCTAAGTTGACATGGGTTCAGCAAGGGTTCTCGCGAAAGGCAGGAATTAAGTCCCGGCTTTGGTGGGCGGTGCATTCTGCTGGGGTCCACCGCATTCACTACCAGATTAACCGCCACTAAAGCTCTGGTAAAAGTCCGGCTGAATGCTATGCTGCAATCCGGAGGAGTCTCTCTTTTCCAGAGAGGAAAAGTCATAGTCTCACCGAGGCAAGGCGCTGTAGCCATAACGTTTCACACTTATTTAGCATTAAGGTGAGCGGAGAATGCCCTCTCCACTTTCTAAGCTGAACAGCGCCAAGGCTCTAAAGTTCTTACAAAAAAGGTCCTTCACAGAATTACTTCTTATCCCTTGCCTCATAATCGCTACTTCACTCGCTGCATAATTACCGTACCCGTCAAAAATCACGACATTGTTTCGAAATAATGCCATACATTCGGTGGCTTTTCATGAGCTCACAGACCTTTGTAAAACAGCACAGCTCTCTGGGAGAGCTTGTTGTGTCGTCCCACTCCACCCCTAGGACGCCTCGTGGTGGGCATAGTTTGACGACGTGAGGGGGCCGGGCATGGAGCCATTCGCTTCCCTAGTCAGGTTTACAAGATCTCAACTCTGACGAAACTCGTGACGACCTCTGCTGTGAGGCTGGAACAAGCTTATCTATGCCATCGTTGGTAAACCTTCACTCGAGAAAGACTGCCTAGATAGATCAACACGCTCGATGGCAGCAGGCGAAAGTGACAACATGCCCCCCCCCCTCCCGTGTCAAATGCCACCGTTTTCGAAGTGCATTTGGAAAGCTTGGAAAGAATTCGATCTAACAATTTGATGTTCTAAGAGTAAGTGAATTCGCGCCTTCATATAGTTGGAACCCTACAGATAATGAAATCTGTTTGAAGGACATTGGTGAAGACGAATTCGGACATCATTCGCACATCTCTGTTGACCTTTTTCAACAATTGTGCTGACGACCTGTTCGCGGCCGTGAAAGAGCTAAAGGTACTTCTGTCAGGTTTTTTAAGTTTAAACTAAACTATTTTACTAGAACATTTCTCCAATTCTTTCAGTATATCATACTCAGCTAGAATTTACAGTGAAGTCAAAATGTTTTTCAAGTTCATGATGTGCATGATTTCAGGATAATGGCAATACTCTCTCATCCGAGGTCAGAATCTAAGATCGTGGATCTCTTTGGAGTTCGCTCATCAGATGATCATACCGGTTCTTACCACGATGTTCACTCATCTGGCAAGAAATCACTTTGGAACTGATGTTCTTCGTGAGTTTCTTTTCATCGTTCCCTTCATGTCGAAAAAAGTCACTGGTGAGCAACCAAATGAATGGACAAGAGATGTGAGAAGCACAGCCTCGCTCCCACCAGCAGCACACTTCCAAACGGGGAACTCGAGGCAGACGCAGTCAGTGTCTTTTCTATTAGCAAAAAGCAGACTGGGGACAGGGTCTCATCCGTTTGTATAAAACCCAACGGAGGCCATAAAGAGAGAGGGACCGTATCTTCGCCTAGAGAGGACTTTGTTGTGACTGTTCATTTTTCCCAATTCACGATTGCTGCATATCGCCGGCCTAGGGGTAATACTTAGCGCTCGTTGGAGCAATACAATTGACTGGCGGGAGATATATAGCGCACTATGACCGATTGTCAGAGCACGTCTTGGTGTGGGGGGGGGCTTTCACTAGATCCGACTCCTCCTTTCCCACCCCTTCCCCTCCCCCTTTTCTCCACCGGCTCCTCAGCCTACAGCCTACGGGCCTCTTGTCGCATTTTCCCAAGAATTTGTCGTCGATGCGAGCGAGGAAAGGAGAGGACATCTTTCCAACTATGCGAATCGCTGTTTATTCGAAATTCATCCATCGAGTAAGGGGCCGTTTTCAGGGGGAAGCCAAAATGCGCGAGGTGTATGCCTCGAAGCAAGAAAAAGCCCAACAATGGACACGGAAAAACGTATTCCGAGTCGAACAGACTCCCTCCAGTCCAGTGACCAAAAAGGAATACCTGTTGGGAATCCCCAACGTGCGGCCTTGCTGTTAGTTGGTTGAAGATGTTCAGCACCTCCCCCCCTCCCCTTCACAACTCCTAGGCAGAACCTTGGGAAAAGTTGGAAGGATGTTATATGAAACCCCTACCGCCACCTTTTTCTGATAAGATCCTCTCGATCGAGCCTGGATAAGGACGAAGCCGAATCCGGGCCGTAAAAGTACCATTTAAAGCATGATCAAGTCGAATAAGAGCCATTTGACTATGTGTCATTTCTTGGTGAAGATTGCTGTTGCTTCTCCTCTTTTCATTTTTTTACTCCAATTTTTTTACTTTGTTATTGTAGTGGACGACATCCAAGCAGCTGGTTACAAAATCCTCGACTCTCTGTACATGGTCACTGGGCTGGCGTCGACGGCCGCTCAAAGAAAGTCTATTGGCTATGAAACGGATAAGTAAGTTCAAGATCCGGAAGTTTTACATCAATACCTGATCTCTTTTCCCATCAATCCCACTTTTCCCAATCTAAGGAATGTGAAGCGCATGTGCAATGAAACGCTCAACTCCCTTCCCCTTTTGCTTACAATAAAACCCTTGATTATTAAGATGGCAGTACGCAGTCGAGAGCTTTGTTTTAGGCATCGCCCTGGTCTTGGTCAGTGTCTGTCGGCATTTGCGTCTTGTTTCCCGGTAGCGTTCCTGGAACCCGAATATAACAAAAACAACAAATACTCCGTATTGGCCAAAACGCAGGATCAGTCTGTTCAAGTGCAAGGTAGGATTGTTTTTTTAACTTAAATTCCGTCAATATTGATATTTGAAATTCCATTTGATGCGTTTATTTTGCTCTAATCACTATCACTTGAGCGCTATATCTTTCCGTTTGTTCGGAGTACCTCCAGCGTTATTTAGAAATTCACTTGGAAAGGAAAACTTTCGGATGTTGAGGACTAAGCTGAACCCCGCCCACAGGGGGTGGAGCGTGCGTGAACACGGGTGGCAAAGATGAAAACTCACAACTCAATTCCGAAGTAACCCTGAAATCAGATGAAGATGAGCTACAGATTGAAGAATGAAGTGCAAGGAACACAGTCTTGGTGGGCGGAGAGCGTGCTGGAGACAGGGGAGTTCGGATGAACGGAAGCAATAACCAGGGCCTGTCGAGGGAAAATCGCTGGAAATGAAAAACCATTGAGTTAGCTGAACAATCGGGTAGACGAAATAAAAAATTGAAGGCGGAAAAGCAGCTAGAAGCTCAGATAAAGTAGCATCAAATAGCGAAGGCCCACTCGCACTGGGCGAGGCCCTCTTAAAAGAGGCACTCAAAAATTCTAGTCACAAATTCTAGCAATGTTTGACTTGAGGAGGGGCATTTTGCACTTTTGCTCGTTCCTCTTGCTTGACCATTTAAATTAGTAGATCTGTCCTTGGTGGCACCCACGAATTTTTGTGAGGCTGCGAAATCGTGCAACTGAGCCACTTTGGTCACAGGAGTTTGCGGGTCTTTACGCGATGACCTGTATAAGCTACTGAGTACCATTTGAAGCCCCACCATGCCGATTCGTAATTCGGTCAAAAAGCAGTCGAGATACCGGGAAGTATGGGTTAGGACGAAAAGCGGGTTGACGAAGGATATATGAAGTATAGGTATCCGGGAGCAGTGCGTCGGAGCTGGTGGGGGTAAAACGAATATATCGTAATTTTTCTGAGAAATTGAAATAGATTTTGCCAAAAATAAGCACCTGGTCTAGCCGCAGAGCTGTCCTTGAATTGGGACCATTTCAGTACTGATGAGAATAAAACTAAGCTTTGGTAAACTAAATCGATTGCTATTCAGAAACAACCTTTGATTTACAGAAATGCTGCAGAATCTCTCCACACACATCCCTCACATCGAAAAATTGCTCACTGCTATCGAACAGGTACGTTCAGACTTTTTCCTTGTATTGTGAGCTGCTCCAAGCGTTATTTCTTCCGGAAGTCAATTCAGTCACCCTTCTGGCAGTTCCTATGTGATCCTCGAGCCTACTGAGAGTTAGAGGCGAATTATGCTAGTTCCCCTCAAGAGCATTTCAAGGAAAAGCGGTTGAAAATAAGAATTGTATGCGCTACTTGATTAACCCCTGGTGAGAAAAAAAGAGGAAGAAATCATTGAAAGCGCTCTAATTGAGCTCTCTTTTCCTCCAGGCGAAAACCGGTTTCGTTGAGGTGTTGGACAAGAGACTTGGCAATAGGGGCGAGGAACTATAAAATGACCGAAATCACAAGCATTACCGTGGGGAGGAGTCGCTTGCGCTCAGGTGGAGCCACATAAACAACCCTGTTCCTTAACGCTCCCAAATTAGCACTTTCTGACGCGAAGCTGATACAGAGTTATTCATTACGCCCATCTTAGCTCTTCCCAAACAAGACTTTGATCTTTATGAATAATCACGAAATGTGCTGTTCGGCGCCAAGTTGCCTTTTACAGGTATCCAGTAATGGTATTATGTACAGTGAACAACCGAATGTCTATGATGTGGATTTACCGCTGATGTGCTCGTACTTGGGATATTGGTTCAACCTAGGCCCGGATGGCCGTAAAGCCGAGAAAACAGAAGAAAAGGAACACAGGCAATCGTTAGTTGAATCGTATTTTGTAAAAGCTCATTAGCTGTTGTGTACTATACCTGACCCGGTTCGGGTTGAACATGCTATATGAGGTCACACTGAATTTTCGGGGGATGCCTTCTACTTACTACAGTGGGTAACAGAGGTATGTGGACACCCCGAATTCTTACTTTACAAGAACACTTTCGATTTCGGCAAAATAGGACCTTCACTATTCGATTTCTATGTGGACACCCAAGAAAGAACAAAAATAACCTTGGAGATGAAAGTCTGGTTAGTTCGTGGTTCATCATGTTTGTCTCGTGCCGTGGCACGCTCCGCAAAAAGCAAGAGCAATTATTGCCCCATGAGGTGATGAACCACATTGCACTCCCGGCTGTCGTTGAAGACCCGCAGAGCGGTGATTTCCCGACGTTTTTAAAATGATATCAGTCAGTAAAACTCTCCAGACTCCCTAGAATAACGAAGAATAGCTTGAGTAATCTCAGATAACTATCAGTGTGTTGGTCGAGAAAACGCTTCAAAAAGTTTGCTGGCCTCTAAGAATTACCGTTTTGGGCGCTCTCCAGTCAAATGGGTTTGCTTCATAAACCAGTGAGAAGAGTGCTGCTATATTAAGTGTTCAGGACGAAATAGCAAGATGTGAAAATACTACAAAATCATCACATAAGGTGGGATCTGGGAGAAACTGCCAATTTAAAAACGGACAGCATCTCATGAACATTTTCTAGTTTGATAATCTTCCTGGATGGAAAAAGTTCAGTATTGACGCTCCGGATGGATTTCGCGACTTTGGAGTGGCCTTCGTAGGTAGCTCCTGATGTCCTTGGATGGCAACTTTGGAGGGGATGTACATGTGGTTGGAGAGCCATAAGAGAAAACTTCCTTCTTCGACATGAAGCATGGGAAATCGGGAATACGAATAATTGGCTGACTCTCACATTTCGCTCTTTTTGAGAAATGGGCGATACAGAAAACATGTTCTAGGGCAGCAAAACGCGGCAGCAGTTGTCTCGTTCCCAGAAAGAAAGAGAAAGAAATGGCTCCTGCACAACGGTATTTTATGAGGGATTTGTCACATAGTTCTACTGACTGTTATCATTTCGAAAACGACAGGAGATCACGGCTCAGCGTGTCTTTCACAACAGCCGGCAGTGCAATGCGGTTCATCACCTCAAGGCGGCAACATTTGCTGCTTGCGACGCTATACACGAGACAACCATGAGGAACCTCGTTCAGGAGCATGCCGGATAAAATGATCAAACTAGAAGTGAGAAAGAAAATCAGGAGAAAAGAGATTGCTTTCCTCTTACGAAATCATATAGGAGCTTCCGGACTTTCACTTCAGGATATTCTTATTTTTTCTTAAGTGTCCACATACTTTTGGTGCAAAGAAACTTTTTCCAGTAAAATATGAAATCGCTCACAAGATGCTGCGAAGTGAAGTATACTATGGTGTCCGTACCCGGTGCATTGAATGGTAAAAGTCCCATTTTGCCAGAATCGAAAGTGTTCTTGTAGAGTCAAAAATTGGGGTGTCCGCATACTTTTATTACGCACTGTAGGAAATTGTTCATATCCAAGGGGGAAAGAGGTTCTATGGACGTCATGTCTTCCTTAATAACTGGGAAAGTCATAGAATAGAAGTGAGAAAGAAAATCAGGGAGAAAAGAGATTGCTTTCCTCTTGCGAGAAGTTTGAAGAGTTTTCCATGCAAAATCGAGTGACACTTCATTTTAGACTGCCGATGACATCCGTCGGTGCTGAGCATATCAACCGTGTCTTCTGTGCTCTTCTACGCATGCTGAGAAACCATATTGGAGTTGAGAACGCCCCATGGCTGTGTCGTACAAACTGTGGGTAATATTAATCTAATGACTGTTGAAGTTACCCACCTACTTGAAGTTATCTTCAAGAGGAATTGAGCAGAATTCGTTTACGGAGGAGAACAAAAAATTTTCGAAGATTGACTGCATATAGGAGAACCGATCCACTTTGAAGAATATCCTATCAATTCTTTGGAGGCATATACCGTACACTCCCTCGCCGCAATGAACACAAAAATCTGTGGGGGAGGGGCGTAGCAGAGGGGGAATTTGAGGTGGGGGAAGGGGTGTTT